GTGCGCTTCATGGATTTCGGTGAGAGACGGGGGAAATTCAGGGATTTTGGGGGGTCAGGTTCATGGATTTCAGGGATTCAAATTCATGGATTTTGGTGAGAGATGGGGGATATTCATGGATTTGGGGGGGTCAGGTTTGTGGATTATGAGGGGAAAAGTTCATGGATTTTGGTGAGAGCCGGGGAAGAATTAATGGATTTTGGGGGTTCAGGTTCATGGATTTTGGGGATTTAGGTTCATGGATTTGGGGATTTAGGTTCATGGATTTGGGTGAGCCCAGGAGGGAAATGTTCATGAATTTTGGGGGAGTCAAATTAATGGATTTTAGTGAGCATGGGGGGAAAAAGTTCAGGGATTTTGGTGAGAGCCGGGGAAGAATTAATGGATTTGGGGAGTTCAGGTTCATGGATTTCAGGGATTCAAATTCATGGATTTTGGTGAGAGCTGGGGGGTAAAAGTTCATGGATTTTGGTGAGAGCTCCTCCCTGGGGCCAGTGAATTCCTGGGATCAGAATTTTCCTTCCCGGGAGGGAATCCAGAAATTTTCCGGGAGCAGAGATTTCCTTGGGGGAATTCCAGCGAATTCCCGGGAAGAGTGAATTCCCAGGAGCAGCGATTTCCCGGGAGCAGATAATTCCCAGGAACGGATAATTCCCAGGGGAATTCCAGCGATTTCCCTGGGGGAATTCCAGCAATTTCCTGTCAATAGCGAATTCCCAGGAACTGCGATTCCCCGAGGGAAATTCCACCAATTTCCCGGGCATTTCCACCGATTTCCCGGGAATTTCCACCGATTTCCCAGGGAATTCCATCAATTTCCCGGGAAATTCCACCGATTTCCCGAGATCCCACAGAGCCCCCTCCCCACCTCCCGTCCCCTNTCCCACAGAGCCCCCTCCCCACCTCCCGTCCCCTCCCCTCGTTCCAGATTGGATCCCGCGGCTCTTCACCACCACGGTGACCACCACCACGGCCACCACCATGGCCCCGGCCACCACCCGCCGCGTGCCGGACGCCACCGCGGCCGTCGGCCACCGCCCGCAGCCCGTGGGGTCAGGGGGCACCGGACGGGCTGGGTCCGGCAGTGCTGACCACAGCGGGGAGTCCACTCGGCCGGCTCCAGACAATGTCCAGCCAGCTCTGGACACCATCCAGTCGGCTCCAGACATTGTCCAGTCAGCACCGGACACCATCCAGCCGGCTCTGGACAATGTCCAGCTGGCTCCGGGCAATGTCCAGCTGGCTCCGGACAATGTCCAGCTGGCTCCGGACACGGTCCGGCCGTGCGCCTCGCGGCCGTGCCAGCACGGGGGCACCTGCCAGGACGATGGACGCGGCTTCAGCTGCAGCTGCCCCGCGGGCAGGACCGGGGCCGTGTGCGAGAAATGTACGGGACAGCGGGG